AAAATACATATAGGCCCCCTAATTGATTCTCCTGACGCAAATCCAGGTATTGTCTATCGTCACGAAAATAACATTTACCATTCAATAATAGAACAGTTATCGACCTACTTGCAGTGAATTGAATGTAAAATGCTGTCTCTTATACACATCTAGATGTGTATAAGAGACAGATAACGAATTGACTTAAAACTCATTATTTATAAATAACTGCTTTTACATTTCATTATAAATAAATAATAGCTGTCGCAAAACCATAATGCTTGGACTTCACACTCATTATATGTAATGCACACGTGTTATCGTGTCTAGGTCGTTATATCTAAATAATGGTTTTTACTTCCAATTATGGCCTAAATGACCGTTGAAGTCGAGTACCATTACATCTAAATAATGACATCGTAGGAAGCATGGTTTATAAATAATTCGTTATGCAAATTACAAAGTAATAAATATTCACCAGTGCTCTAAAGTTACAATTAGGTCCTATTCACCTATCGAAAATGGCAAAGCAAGGAAAGCAAGATATACAGCAGAATCCAGTGGTGGCGCCAATAATAATAATAATAATAATAATAATAATAATAATAATATTAATTTTAATAATAGTAATAATAATAATAAATAATAAATAATAATAATAATAATAATATTAATACTAATAATAATAATAGTTCAATGACACTAATTTAAAATATTTTGCGTTCTGTTATGACAAATTCTCGTTTGGATAGCCTCATGATGCTTGGAATACATCTCGATAGTGGAAGTAACCTCGACCTTGACATCGTGGTTGACAGATTTCGTGCAAAATTTCCATAATGTAGAATTTCACTTTAAAGAAAGAGGATTTGTAAGGAAATTAGATGGTTACTTTGCAAACTCTTTGTTTCTTGTTTTATTCAAAATTTTCTGGTTTTGGTAGCTGATTTCGACATTAGAAAACATAGCCCACATGAAGTCATATTATAGTAGCTCGATGCCTATCAAAAAAGTAATAAAAATTCGCCATAATTCGTCAAATATCCGTGGCTGCCTGGAACCCCACCGCAGTGGCATAAGCAAGAATTTAGTCTAATGAAACTTGTTTATCATCTTGATACCTTCCGACGAAACTATCACCGAAAAAATAGATAAAATGACAGTTGAATGACCAACAAAGACAACTGAAGACAATAAGTTGTCATTAGAAGTTATTTAGTATAACTTTATTCGGAAAATTAATCCCAAAATCGAATTGCCGTCCCCAGCGTTGTCAGTGACGTCGTATGATTTGTGTGCGATTTTTACCAATTAACCCTAAAGTCAAAAATAGTTGAGCCATGTAGTACCTTGGAAATCAACCCAGAAACCCGGTAGTTTGTTGATTGTTTATTGGTAGCGTCCTTTCGCTGCCAAGTTTTTTGGCAGTTGCGTCCCGTTGACATCCACTATTCAAATGAATAACTAACATAAATTTTAAGTATTAAAGTGCCATTCTCCAACTTTATCTCATGCAGCCAAAAACATCACGGGGCTCAGGTGGATATAGTAATTTTCCTAGTTTTTATGTATGACATTGCCATTTTGCGGCATCAAAATTCCCCAATTTTTAACATTATCTCACCTCCATGATGGGGATAGGCCTTTGTGGATATAGTAATTTTTGTTGTTTTTATGTATTTGCCATTTTCCTGCATTTAAAGTCCCTAATTCTTAAAATTGTTTTACCTCAGCCTCAACCATGGTGGGCTGAGATAGATGGATTAAAATTCTCATAAATTTTAAATATCCGAGTGTTGTTTTGGGGCATCTATAAAGTTTCAAATTGCAATTTACTTATCTGCGCCCCAAATCCATGGTGGGGCTCAGATATCGTAAATTTTGTAGTATTCAAGTGCTTTTTTGTGCATCTAACGAGTCTCAACTTCTTAAAATGTTCTCACCCCAGTACCAACCATAGTGGGGCTTAGTTGAATTGGGGCTCAGGTGAGTATGGTAGTTTTTAGAATAGTAAGTACTTAAATTTCATTTTCGGGTACGGTACCTAATTAATTAATTGGGTTTTTTTTTTACTCAATTTGTCAAAAACATTATTATTTAATAGGTAAGGTAAGTTCCATTTTGGGGCATCCAGTGGTATAAAATACTGAAATGTTTGCGTCACCGCCAACCACGATGGTACTGACGTGATGTGGACTCTCATTACATCAGCACCCCCTTCTTCAAAATATGGATATGCCACTTTGCTGAAAACAATAGTTAAGACAAATATATTTCCATTCGTTTTGTTGTTCATGTAAATGTCTGACAGGTTATTACTTTAAAACAATGCTAAAAACACAGTGTCAATACGAACAATTACACATGTAAGACTGAGCGAGCGACTCCGAATTTAGGTGGAATTAGTAGTGGTTATGTGACGTTTGTCATGCACTGTGTATTATGCGCTATAGAAATGGAAGACCATAATGTAATTGGAATGAACGTCTCTGGTATTGCCGACAGTACAATCAGTGTAAAATATAGGCTAGTGTGGATTTAAACAATGTCCTAATGGCAAGGTTCAAAATAAATGTAAATCAAATAAATATGACTGTTGGGGTGAGAGGGGTGTATCTTTGTATTTAGGCAGTTATATACTGTCTTTATGTCTAAACAAACTTTAATTTTAACACCGAGTCTCCATTTTAAAAGCTCCTAAGAGTTTCGTGGAGGTCCTTTTCGTCGCTCTGTTTTTGAATATATGTATGGTTGAGTTTACTTTGTCATGAATTGCAAAGATCAAATATGACTGTTGTGGTGAGAGAGGGTGTATCTTTGTAGTTAGGCAGTTATATACTGTCTTTATGTCTAAACAAACTTTAATTTTAACACCGAGTCTCCATTTTAAAAGCTCCTAAGAGTTTCGTGGAGGTCCTTTTCGTCGCTCTGTTTTGAATATGTATGGTTGAGTTTACTTTGTAATGAATTGCAAAGAACATGAATAAAGAAATAAAATGAAAAATGTAAAAACTATGTCTATATGCGTACAACAACCAGATTATAAAATTTACTAATAGATCAATAACTTTCCAATGATAACCACATGAACTACATTACTCCACCAAACTTTAGAAACAATAGCAGTATTGTACAAATAAACGGCATCATACTTTTTATGTTAATCATCTATTTATTTTGGCGCACATTGATCATACAGTGTTCCTATCATTTCTATCATTATCAAAATCGAACGCACAATGAACAGATCATAATTATGCCTATACAAAAAAATTATTAGATCATCACTCCAGCCCGCGTCAACAAAATTGGGAAATATTGATGCGGAAATTTTAAAAAATGTTGGCTGCATCATTTTTTTAACAGCATAAAAAACCAATGTAATTTTGTGATTGGAAATACGTTTTCTTTAAAAAAAAAAAACAATAAAAATTAAACCTGTTTTTAGTGATCTAATAATTATTTTCCTATGTGCCTTAAATTGGCTATAGTGGGACACAGTGAAATATCTTGTTTAATATTTTAAAAAAAAATCCTATTCTTTTCATTGTGTCCAGTGGTTGCCAAATTGGCTATAGTGGGACACAGTCATACCACATATACAAATGTGCGTGACGATATTTTATTGCGTTAGAAATGTGATTTAAAAATGTATATTGAATCACGCACTGAGTATTCAATATATTTTCACGACAGGTTGGGCAAAATACATATAGGCCCCCTAATTGATTGTCCTGACACAAATCCAGGTATTGTCTATCGTCACGAAAATAACATTTACCATTCAATAATAGAACAGTCATCGACCTACTTGCAGTGAATTGAATGTAAAATGTATTCATGAGGTTATGATGATTTGAAGTGTTTAAAAACGTACACAATAA